AAATCCTGTGGAAAACACTGTTAAGGTACAGCATGTAAATAGAATTCACATATTTTAGACACACTGCAAATATAGAATTGTAGGAGTGTAGGCTGTTGCCAGAGCTGTGCAGTGGCCAGTGCTGGGTGACAGGCAGGGAGGGTAGTTACACTGCCTGCAAGGGTAGGAGAATCTGCCTACCCTTGGCAGAGATTGCCAAAAAAGGGCTGGCTTTGATTTTGAGGGGGCTGAACTGCTATTGGTGGCTAACAACCTTAACGAGGTAGCACAGAACCATATTTTTTTCATCTACAACAGTTCTAGCTGCCACTACAGGAAGGAGTAGGGTCTCACAAGGGAAAATAAAAACATAAATCTTTGTCCTTCTCTAATCTGCAGCATTGCTATTGCCGGGTTTTTGAACTATTGTCTTTAAAATGTGAGCAGAGTGAGTCTATAGGAGAAGAGAAAAATCCGTATGTGTGTAGTAAACACAGAACGGTAATAGTGAGAATAAACGAATGAGGAGCTGAGGGAGAAAAAGAAAAATTGTAATAATTGCAAGTAATTTTATCTTCAGCATGCTAAATTCTTTCATTTGAATGACTTTTTACCTGGACAAACTTGCTCTTGAAGATGGGAGTAGAGGTAAAAAGAACACTCTCCTTGGCTAAGAAGTCTCTGAATGTCATACATAATGAGCAGCTGATTTGAAGTTCTTAGAATCAAACTTGCTATTCATGTTGGCTCCACATCCATTTTCCCCTTCATCCCATGCAGAATGCATGGTGCAGTCCCAGGCAGAAACCTTCTGTGATCCGAAAGGTGCTTGTAAGAGCCCTCCCAGCACCTCATTTAATGGATCTTACACGTGGGCAGAGGCTGAGGCACTTCAGCAACAGCCCAGGGAGGGGCTCAGCCCTATAGCTCCTTATTTTGGGTTCCTGCCTACCCCTGCACCTGTGCCCTCCTCTGTGTCTGCTGGTGATGGGCCTGGGAGAAGCTTGGGCCAGGTGTGATTTGGGTTTGCCCACCCACCAGCCTCTCTGTTATCATTCGTGTGTCTGCTTTTTATCCCACCTCTTAACAAAAGACTGTTTTCTTGGCTTTTTTTTTTTTTTTTTTGGGTTCTTTCTTTCTTTGTTTTTATTTTGCTTTTTATTTGTTTGTTTTTGTGTGTGGGTGTTTTTGGTTTTGTTTTGGTTTTTGGTTTATTCTAACCCTAGTCACCACCTCTTTAGAAAAAAATCCAGTTAATGGAGAAAGCTGCAGCATGACTCCTTAGCAATGCAGACTGCCAAGAGCACATTAAATCCTATCTTCTGCTCTGTTCTCTGGCTTTTCATAGCACATTGGGCAAATTTATTGTATTTGGCCATTAGGGAATAAATTACAGAAAGTCAGTCATAAATATACAGTACCAGCTATCTTTGAGTTAGATGGGCTCAAGTACCATTGCATCTGCATGTGTGCCTTTCCCTTCCTAAGACTGGCAGATAAATAGCTCTCAGGCCATTTTTATTTTCATTATTCAATATCTTTAGTGATGAATAGCTACCTAGCTCTGACACAAAAGTCCTGGCAGGCAGCACAGTACACCACAACCAACCTGCTGTCATCAGCATTGGCTCCAGTTCACTCGCCTACACAATTCCCTGAGCTCATTCTCTTGAGTGCAACCCATGCCCTGAGCCACGAAGCTCTGCAGAGCCACATCCCAGGAGATTGATCACCAGCCTTGAACATGAAGAAGCCTGTTCCAGCAGACTCATCCAAATACAAGAAAGCTACAGGAAAATATTAAGCCCAGTTCTTTTCTCTGCAGCATCTCCATGAATACATGAGGAAGGTCTCGGTCATCTGGCAGTTCTCCAAAGCAGTGCAACAGCTTTCCATCCTGAAATGAGCATAGCTGAAGAGGCTGTCAGCAGCAGCAAGAAATCTAGCTGGCAAGAAACCACAAGATCAGGCACAATAAGGTAAAGTATCAATATTAGTGCATAGCTGTCAAGCCACCAAAGCAAGTCTTTCCACAAAACATAGAACAGATCCTCAGTGGAGGTAATCACTGCAGTCTCCATTATCAGATTGAACTACATTCCAGGAAGATACCCATTTGCCAGGAGCAAGAACTGCAGACAGATTGCTCAAAATTGAGTGGAAGTGACTTAAAACAGCTAAGGAAACTTAACACAGATAAAAGTAAAGTTACTCATATGAGGAAATTATTTTCTTAAACTGTAATTATATTACAGTTCCTAAGTTGAATACTACCAATAAAGCATGAGAATTTAAGGTTACCTCTTTTAAGAAAATAAGAATATTACCAATAAAGCATGAGACTTTTAAGATTCGTAAAAGCATATTGGTCAGAAGTATTGAAGAACAAAAATTATTAGGAAATAGAGAACAAACAGAAGCCATCATGATGTGGTTAGTATGAGATAGTGGTGCCTTTTAACATGTATGCAGTTCTGATCTCCTTGTTTCTGACAGAATATAATAAACCTGAAGAGGGTGAAAAGAGGAGCAAGAGGGATGGGTGATATGGTTTAGGGATGACAGGGACAGTACTGCATTTGTGGTTGGACTTGATGATTTTGAAGGTCCTTTCCAACCTTGATGGTTCCATGAATCTGTGATAGACCTCATTTACTTTACAGACCCTTAGATATGGTCTGTGACCACAAAGGGTAGACTACATAGATTAGGCATTTAATTCAGAAGATAGCCATCTATAAAATTATGGGTGGCAATGTGAGGGTGACTTCCCTTTGCTCCAAAAAAATAAGAGGCATCAAACAGAAGTAGGAGATGGCAGATTCAGAATAAAACAGAGGAGATGCTGCTTCACATTGTGAAAATGTGGGATTTTTTTGCCACAAACACTGGATGGGGGTAGTATTTGGAAGCTGGATAATTATCTCGTTACCATGCATTTATGCTTCTCTGGAGGTGTGAACTATTGGCCAGTTTTTTGCACAGGGCCAATTTGAAAAAAAAAAAATATCTAGAAGTGCACAGGCCTCAGAGTGCAAGGATGATTCTGGCATTATGTTGTTTCCTTATCAGCAGTTTCTTAAGCAGTCCCACAGAAGCATCTTCTGCTAGTACCAGTCATTGCCAGTGTAGGGAGGTGTGTTTGAAAATGTCCATGTTTGGCTTCTTGGCCCACTTACTGGTCTGTATATGGTCACAAAACTGAGTCCTCCCTCCCTTAGTGGTCCAACCAGCACAACATTTCAAAATGACTAAGTCACTGGTTACTTTGCCATAACAGACAGACCTAGATAGGAAAGGCTCTTGTCAGACACATAAAAATGTGTTATATGGTCTTGGGTCACAGTAAAATCTGCAGGAGGAGAATGCCAGGTACTGACAAAAACCACTTTGCATGCTTTCTTGTCAGTCCAGTGGGGCAGTTTTTTGTGTGCTAATATATTTGTGTATATATATATATTTATAGCTATACTTACCTTTCATTTTATCTTACACTTTTATTTTTCAATCCCTGGTTATCAAGGTCAGGCTAATACCTTTGTCTTCTGTGGTATGCTCAGATAATCTGCAGTTAGTGTACAATAAGGTTTCAGTTTTGCTTGTGAATGAACTCTGCAAAACTTACTTGGTTGCTTATATTTTTAAACATAGATTGGGTCCATGGAAATGCAGAAGTCCTTGCATGGGGACAGAGCATGCTGGGTATTGCTGGATAGTGCTGGGATGGAGCAAGTCATCTGAGCCAGATCAGATCTCTAAAACTAGAGAGCTACTAAGCCTCTGTGCATCACCTTTTGAAGGCTTTATATTCCAAGAACTTTATCAGCTTGTATGCAATATGGCACAAATGCACAGAGCAAGTCTTAATTGAATGCTGAATATGAATCACTGGGCCCTTCTAGAAAACATGCAGCTAGCAGCAGTTTGTGAGGTTGTAACATCTGCAAAATGTGCAGGCCTTTCCTCCCCACAAATTACCCAAGATTTGTCTCCAAGATTTTTCAATGCTGACTTTAAATCCAGCGTGACAACTCATCTCTCTGAGTGGAGGGTAGGATAGATTTACTAGAAAACAACAGTCAAGTTGGAAAGAAAACAAACAACAAAACCAAAAAAATCCATAAGAAAACACAGAAGAAACATCAGTGTGACTTTTTTCACTTGTAGTAAATATGGAAATCCAGCTGCTGACAGTATCATGCTGAAAATGCTATGCTTGGTCTCTTGAGACCAGCTGGCACTAGGAAGGTGAAGGGTTACAGTTATTAGAGTTCTTCATCATGAGGATAAGGCACTTAATTGCAACTTATGGATCAAATACTGCTATGGGAAGCTCTACCTTGTTTTACAGATTGCTGCATTAAAGACCACCAGCTGCTACAGCTGTGTGTGCTGCCCATGCAAACCCTTTGTCATCGATAGTTGTGACTTTGATTGTCCCCCTCTCATAGAGGAGTCTCTGGGGTTTTTTTTGAGTACATGCAGAAATGCTCTTCCATGCCTAAGTCTTCAAAAAATACTATAGATAAATGCTCTGCCTTCACAGATGGATTTGGTGGGATAGCATTTTAACCATGAAGTCCAAGAAACAAGACATTGTAGGGCACTGCTGTGGTCTAAATCCCAGATGAAACATGATGCTACCAAAATACACAATCTGGTGGGAGCTGAAAAGTCCTTATCTCATGGGGAAAATCAAAAAGAACACTTTATCAGATTCCAGACAGTGCAGCACAAGAGCTGTTTGCAAATGCTATGCAATTAAGATGGGGAAAAGAAGTATTCTCCAGCTTTGATTAATCTGATTGTAACCCCACCCCAGCTCCAAGTGCTGTTTCTGTTTTGTCCCTTGGGATGTGTGAGAGAGAGCTCACTCTGCAGTTTCAGTTCACTCATGACACTGTACATGAGGGAAAGACTGGACATACTACTTCTCTTCCTCCCTGGGCACTTCCCCCACCCCAAGTGCCCTCTTAAATCACTACTTTTCTGTTTTAAACAACAAGGCTGAACAGGTGAAATTTTAAATAATGATTGAGGATTTTTTTTATTCATTTAAGTTTCAATATCATTACAGAAAATGTTATGGTACAGAGTTGTTTAACATTAGTTTTATTTCTTTGCTCATTTAATTTCCACACGAATGCTGGTAACACTAATATCTGTACAAGATCAGTCTTTGATTTTTTTAGTTTTTAGTTCTGTACATTTTTAAATGTATTGGTTAAAAAGGCTGTCAGCACTTAAGGAAGCAATTTTTTTGTTTGTTGAAATAAAAGGTATCCAGTTACTGCCCAAGAGTACTGAGCTGGGTGGCTGCTGGGACAAGAGACATCCCTGAATGCGCGGCGAGGTGAGAAAACCTCGGGGCTTCATTGGGTTCCCAGTGCAGCCACTCTGCTTTTGGCACTGTGCACATCAACACGAGATACAAGATAAAGAACAAGCAGAAGCTCTCTGTGAAGCGGTTATGAAGCATACTAATAAGGGAAATCCAAGTGTTGTCTACGCTAGTATAAATAAGCAGACAGCCTTGTTTTAAGAGCGTAAGTAGTTGTATCTTAAAGATGAGAAAAAACACAAGTTCTGCAGGCACCTACTGCTGTCTACTAAAAGCTACCGCTATTAGAACTAGCATTGAACACACAAAGCAATTGCAAGAAAAGGAAAAAGTTGCTTTGATATAATCAGAATAAATTTCTTTGTTAAGATTTGTTTTAAAGTTTTTTTTTTAAAAGGTATTTATTTAAATTCCATTTGAAATATATTTCAAGATGTTGACTATACTGATCAACTTTTATCCAAATCGGAAAAACTAGCTGTGCCGTTGCATATTACAGGATACAGTCAATGATATGTGGACATGCATCAAAGCTTCGTTCTTGCTGGTGACATCATAGCCTTCCAATGACCATGACATCCACCACCTCCCCCTTGTGAAGCTCCACATACTGCTCTGTCTTTGGAGGTAGCATCAACAGTCCATTGGCACTGCGCATACTCATCAGACGACTGCTCATCTGATTCCCTACAGGAGAGAGGCAGAACAATTTCAGTTGGGTCTTCACTTAGTTCCAAATGCTGCAACACAGTGCAACAAACAAAAGCTGTTATGATTAAAATGTTTATGTGGCTGACTTATTCATGGAGCTGTGATCTTGCTGTTCCAAGGTGGATGGAAACAGAGAACTCTGTGGAGATTAAGGCAGCCTCTCATTGCACTGGCTCTCAAAACTCTCACTCTCTTTGCTGATTGATTTCCTATCCAGCCTCCCACATTATTTGTACCATGTATCTTATCCTAGCAAATTGCTAATCCTATCAAAATTACTTTATTTTTCAATTTGTACACCTATTCCAGTTGTACAAACGCTAAAATCTGCACAGTCTAGAATGTTTTTAATATCCTGCCCTAGAATAAATTTGGTTAACTTTACTCTCTGAATAGAATAATTTAGTTTGGAAAAAAACCTCCAAGATCATTAAGTCCAGCCTTTGAGAGAACACCACCATTTCAACTAAACCATAGCACTAAGTGCCATGTCCAGTTGTTTCTATAAGTCGTCCAGTGATGGTGACTCCACCACTTCCCTTGGCAGCCTGTTCCAATGTTCAAAAGCCCCTTCAAGAGAAAATTCTTCCACATGTCCAACCTGAGCCTCCACTAGTGAAGCTTGAGGCCATTTCCTCTTGTCTTGTCACTTGCCACCTGGGAGAAGAGACCAACCCCCACCTGGCTACAGCCTCCTTTCAGGTGGTTATAGGGAGAAATAAGATCTCCCGTGATTCTCCTTTTCTCCAGGCTAAACATCCCCAGCTCCCTCAGCCACTCCTCATAGAACTTAATCTCCAAACCCTTCACCAGGTTCACTGCCCTTCTCTGGATATTCTCCAGCACCTCAATGCCTTTCTTGTACTGAGGGGCTCAGAACTGAAATAATATTTTCCCTTTGGAGACTGATATACAGTACTTTTTGTTGAACAATTTGGATGTAACAAAAATACAATTAGTTGTTTAAGGACCTAAATCTCTTGCAAAAGTGTCACAGTCAGCTTTCTAGCAGTACATAGCTAAACCAGTATTCAAATCTAGTGTTTACCTCAACTGCAGCTGAGTATCCAGAAGTATTCCTAGGTGGCAAACATGACTAATAAATCCTTAGTCTGCTTTAAGAGAACATCTAGAGCCTCTGCTATCTTTTCTACTTTTCCAGTTCAGCTAAAATCACATTTCTTTTATTTGTATTGCTCCTACCTCTGCCTCAACTCGTGTTTGTTTAGTACATGTGCAACAGCAAAATGAAGCAAATGTGCCTGACTGCAAGTAAGCTTAGTGGATGTTTATAAAAAGGAATGTGTGCACATATGCAAGCATACATGTGTAGTATGTGTGTGTGTGTGTGTGTGTGTGTGTGTGTGTGTGTGTATTAAGGCAGGTTATTCAAATAAAGGATGTTTTAATGGTTAAATTGACAAGCCATATCAGCACTGAATTTTGTACTAATGGATGTGTATGCATGTGCACAAGTGTGTCAGCAAATCAGTCTGCATAAAGAAGGTTCTATGAAAAAAACATGTGCACACTCTTGGTTGTTCCCAGACACATCTGTAGGAAGGCAAGGCTGTGTGTGAGTGTCTGTCAGCCTGTGTGACTGGCACTGACCTGTACTCTGTGCCCAAGGTAGTGGTTCTTGGTGATGCCAAGTCAGAATGCACCGATGATATTCTGGGCGGGGGTCCAATTTTACATCACATGATAACTGTAGGATTAAAAAAGAAAGGATGAACGTGTCATGCATTCACTTTGCACTAAGATAATGGAATAATCTGCTCAATTGTTTTTCCTTAAAAATAGTCTTTTCAAAATCTCGTGGTTTTTTTGTCAGATGGTGTCTAGTGCAAGATTAAAAGCTGGAGAAGGCAGAGACTGCAGTATTTAAGGAAATATAACTGTGATATTACAATATCGAAATGTCTGTAGGAGTCTACAAGCATTAAATGGAATATTCCAAAGCTGTTCCTTTACTGAGAGTTTACAGACAGTATTTCTCTAGAAAAAAGCCTAGTCTCTTTGGATTACATTGCATAAAGATAAAAAAGTTATTTGCATTCAAAATCCTGCTAGCTCTGACAAAAGGAAAATGGCCAATCCTTGAAATGAAAAGACATACAGGGGATGGCTCATAATGGAAAATACATGCAAAAGTGAAGGTCACTGCAAATTGCTCTCTCTTTTAGAATATTTTAGCTGTGAGATGAAATCTGGATGCTTGAGGAAGGGCAAAAGAGAGACATGGGATAAGCTGTAAGAGAAAAGTGCATAGCCAAGAGCACTAAGAAAACTACAAAAGGTGATGTATTCCTTGGTACTTTATTTGAATCAAAAACAGAAGAAGATGACATTATAATAATATGCCTTGCATCTCTATTAGAGTTACACTATCCATGACTTATTAGAAAAGTGAGAGAGTTTAAGGAATTTATATTGCTTAGGGTGGGGGTCATGTGGGTTTCTTATATGAACAGCTCAACCAAAAGGCTTTAAAGTTTGTATTTTCTATTGCTAATATAGAACTATCCAACTCTAGAAATTCGCAGATCATTCTGCATTTTTTACCATAGCCTAAAACAAATGTCTTTTTTAAACAGGAGAGAGTCCTTCCTGCCTGACTGGCAAATGGCTGCCTCTGCATCTGTATATCTTGCTCCATTAGATGGCCATCTAACTCTAAAAAATTATAGGACTGAATATTACCATTAACAGAGACTGAGAATGTGCCTCTATTTGTGTGAACATCCTTCCAATGCCAGAACTAGTCTAAGGCTCAGATTCCACAAAAACAACAGTCTTTTGTGCCCAAAGAGCTGTGCTTCATCATCTTGAGAGAATTTTTAAATAGAGGACAAGCTTCTTACCCTGGCTTTGATGATGGTGGGCCGAGGATCCAGGATACCCTGCATTTTCCTCAGTGCAGGAACAACAAAGAGATTGCAGGTGACGACAGCTGACACAGGATTGCCTGTAGGACAAAGAACAGTTGGTGGTGATGCCCTCTTGGTTTATCCTGAAATGCTGAAAAGGAACTCATGTTTTTATAGCAATTTCACTCTACAGAGCTTTCTATGCTATGTACTGCATAGAGTACAGAGTGCAGTGGCGTGTGGCAAGGGGCAGGTGGCAGGTACACCTGTTGAAAGCTACACTCTGGCTGATGTGTGCTGAGGCCCTGCTCTGACCACAATTGCTCCATGTTCCTCAGGCCCCACCATTTGCCTCTGTTCTTCTGCTACCCTTGTCCTATGCCTACATTTGTCTGCACTGGAGCAGTTAATTGTTATTGCACAGTTATTGGCTCTGCTCTCACAAGGCTCTTTATTCGTGACTAATGGTTCCCAGACACCAAAGGAAAAATAACTTTCAATTCCCTATCAGAGTAGCAAAGTGCTTTAGGACAAATTCTGAGGAGAATCCTACTGATTTATATTTTTTCACTTGACTCATGAAGAGAGGTGTATGACCAGCTGTCAAACACCACTGTCTTACATATCTGGACTTCCCTAGACAACAGTTTTAAAATAAATACTATGATCAGATGGATGCTCCACTGATCTCTCCCCTGTAAGAAAATGTACTGCAGCAACTAAAGCAAGACAGGGTAGAAGCACATCTGAAAACCACCAGCTTATCAATAACAGGATTCCTTATGCAGTCAAAATTCATGGAAAGTCAGAGCAATAAAAATAAAATAAATTCCTCCTCATTTAGAAGGACACAAATCCATAAGGAAATGTTTATGCTGAAGGAGTGCTTTCCCAGGGCACACAGCCGGCAGCAGTGCAGCCATGCTGCCCTCTTTTGGTTTCACAGCATGAGCACGACAAATAAAGATATTCTGTGACATGTTCCTTGGCACTCCCTCATTTTTGTCTCCATTTGCAGTATGTCAGAGTGGATGCACTGACTTACACCCACAGGATATTTATGGTGAAGGTGCAGGGAGCTGTAGGAAAAAAAAAACCTATGAAAAAGTCAGGAAACTGTTGGATGGAAGAAATCATAAGACCTGTACCAGAAAATTCTGAGGACAGGGACAAAAAAGAACTCTTTATCACATCCCTGTAAGCCCATCTCTTCTGGAAATTTCTGAGAAAATCTTACAGGTGCCTTCCCTAGGGGTCAACACCACGCATAGGTGCTGTGAAGTGTCACTATTCTGTTTCATGTCTGTCATCTGTGTACAGCAACAAAAGTAATCCACAAAGCATCTTACCTGGGAGCGCAAAGATTATTTTTCTTACGCCATCAATATCCAGAGTTGCAAAAGTTGTTGGCAGGCTATGGAAAAAGAAAGTTATTTAATATCTGCATTAGAATTTGACTGAACATTACTGTATTATTTAAAACTTTTGGAAAAGAAAAGAAAACAAAACAAAACAGGACATCGCTCTCTCAGCAATTCAGCAATTCATTAGCACCTGCTGCTTATTCCATACTGGCGGTATAATCCTCTTTTTGTGGTGAGAGAATAATTTTTCTTGATATTCAACTCTAAAGTTTTAAGTACACAAATTTGAGGAGAGGAAAATATCTAAAAGGAAATGAACTAGTAATAAAAAAATCTAAATCTTGTCTTCATGCTAGAAGCCAATTAACAATGAAGTAATACTGGAATTATGCAATTGCAGAACTGTGTTTGTTTTTCATATAAGGGTTTCCATTTTTCTGTGACATTGGTGACTTTAATTCTCTTACTCCAGTCTCTACAGCAGTGCTGACAAGGGAGCAGAATTTCTGAGCAGCAAATGCTAGCTGGTCTGCAGATGAACAAATTCAGATACACGGGCAGAGCTGCAGCCAGGTGACACCCTGGTCTATCAATGAAGAACTCTCTCTGCCTTTCAGAGCTGCTCAGTGATCTTTGGTGACTTGCTGTGAGGGCTATTACTGTTACACAAATAGGACAGTAATGTGACAGCTCAAGAATGTCAAAGAAAAGGGACTCATCCATGAAAAAAGAATTGTATGTTAATATAATCCTTTCAAACATTAGAAAATATATCTTATAGGAGCAATAATTAGGATTGTTTTCTTGGTTTTATCTTGAGCTGACCACTACCACCGGGTCAGCAGATGATAGTTTACAACTTTGGAGGTTTGCTGCACTTTGATCATTATCACTTAGTTTTGTATCTATTAAGAGTCATCAATATCCTATTTTACCAGGGGAAGTTAGTATTTGACGTTCCTGTTTTAAAATGCCTCTAACATGATGTGAACTATGTGCCAGACCTCCAACTGTTATAACCAGTACATAAACCAATGGACAAAAAATTGATTTGCTAATTCATATTTACTGGAAACTCTGAATTCTCATATCATATTTCAAAACCATCACTGGTAGAATTTTCCAGTACTTCCTTCTGTCAGTGCAGCCAGACAAGATAACCTTACATGAGCACAGCAACTTTCAGACCAAGTGGAGGGATGGTAAATCCCAGGCACCACCCTGCACTCATGAAGCACATCAAATACAGGCATACAACAAATTCTGACTTCACTCCTGGAACTTACTCAAGGGATTTTTTCCCAATATAATAAGCATAATCAACAATCTTTTAAGAAGCAGTTAATAAAACCCAAGGTACAATATTTGCTATTGCACTACAGCTAATGAAAAAGAGAGTGCTTACATTCTCAGTAAGAACAGATGAGTAAATGTTTTGGTAGCAATAAGAAATACCTTTCTTGTGGCATAAAATGAAAAGGGACATTTAGGGAAAAAACCATTTCTTGAAGTTTTTTCCAGCTAGTTATTAAAAGTTTATTGCTGCAGGTCTACAGAGGACTCAGCAGAAGAAAAAAAATATGTTTGCTTACAAGTAAGCCAGAACCAGAATTTAATACTCTGAATTCTCTAAATTGAGTTATCCATTCTTGTCAGCAGCAGAGACTGGAGTGCAGATTCTGCTTCTGGGACTTCCCTACATCAGTTGTAGCAGTATGACAGAAGCAGTGAGCAATTTCCATGCCTGTGCTACCTCCACCATAGGAAGAAACCAGCTTTTAGCTCACTCATTCCTTTTGTAGAAGGGAGGTGGTGGTAGAAGCAGCACAAGCACCAAGCCCACACGTAGTTCTTTACCAGACTGTATGTAGAGACAGTAAAAGTATTTGTCTGTTTTCACAGCAAACACCCACTTGCAGCTCTGCTCTGTGACAACAGTTCTGGGCTAGAGGGAATCATTCTGCAAAGCTGTGTTTGATCTTGTGTAGCTGGACCACTCTGACCCAGCCTGCAAACAAACAGCCCTCCACAGGGAGTGAGGCAGAGGTGCAGACATCTTTCTGCTCTTGTACTGTGAAGAAAAGGGAACTCTGTTTTCAGCATGTGTGATTTTCATTCTCTCTCTCTACAGAGCACACTTCCAGACTCACTGATGAGCAGTGCCACAGCACAGAAAAGCAATGCTGAAACAGTTTTCTGAGGAAAACTAAACACAAAAGGGACTATGCTTACTTTAAAATTGCTATGCTCAATATGCCAATTAGACAAAGCTTTGTAAATTAGCTGTTATTCCACCTCTCTCAAGGAACTGCTTGTAGAAATATAATTTATGCAAATTTTGAAGTGAAATACTCTTTAAGCAAACTGTCCATTTAATGTCCTTGTATTTCCTGGTTATTTCATGGTAATGTCAGTGTGAGCTCTGTGATCACACGAAAGGCTGTGGCAATGTTTATACCATGCTTGTTTCCCACCAGTCCCCAAACCTGATTTGCAACAGTTATCAGAGAAATATCTCCTACTGATAAAAAATAATCTCTCTGTTCCAGTTAATTTCACCCATAAAGATAATGACTAATCTGAAGAGCACTGATTCTGCTGCTTTTCCCACATATATCTATCCTGTGGTTTATAATATATCTGGAGAAGTGAAATCTACTGAAGCACTTCACTAGGATATTTGGCCCAATGTAGCCTCCATCTAGGCTGCATAAAGATTTCTTACCCAGGTTTCATAAAAACTCTGCCAAAGTGAATCTGTGCGTGAAGATCAATATCCAGCACCTGTTTAAGATAGTCCTGTTTAATTAAAAAAAAAAAAAAAGTTAAGCAACATCAAAGTGGCTTTACTTCATTTAAGCATTCAAAGCAATTAATTAATATCAAGTGAAGATGAAAATTTGCATGTCCTGAAAGTGCTATAGCCCAGTGGGGAATTTTCAGTATTTGAAAGAAAGTGTTTTGGAAAAGAAGAAGTAAAGAACAGATTCATTTAGGTGCCAAACCTGACTCCATGAGGACATATATTTCCTTAAAATTCATCTGCAGCATCAGTATCTTAGAGCACCCCACAAATACCTACTACTAAAACATTCTCTATGTCAAAGATGGAAAAAAACCTTTACGATTCAAAGTTAAGACTTTAAATGATCAAGTTATTTAAATTTTGCCGTGGAAGCTATCTAGCCATAGATTTAGACATCTCCTACTACTTTTGAAATCAACACTGTATTGTAGAAATCACAGTTCTCTAGGATACTGTCATTATTGTAATTTCTTGGGTCTGATGGTCTAATTCACAGGGGTTGGGTTGAACATTCCTTAGAAAGAAAAAACAGTGGGTGGCTTGTGAATGAGTTCAAGTTAAATGATTTTGGATAAACATGATTGATCCAGTTATTAAAACAAATGGAATTACTTGTTTAATCCTTATTGACAATTGCTGTGCCTAAAGATGTAGTACCCTATTTGTTGTGTTTAGTGAGGCTAAAGACATGGGCCATAACAGTCATCTGTGAAGACACTTTGAAAGCAGTAAATCTGAAACTCCCTGGAAGTTAGCCCTTTTTGTTGTGTGCATGTGTGTGTTCTAATACTTGGAAAGCAGCAACTAATTTCAGCCAGGCATTAACTCTCGATTATTAATTGCATAAACCCCTCTTTTACTTTCTGTTTACTATTTGGATGTTCCCAGCTATTTCATTAAAACTGTAGAAAGCTCAGTATCAGAGGGCAGACCATCAGTGGAATGCAGAGCCTACTGACTTTAGGCTGCTGCCTCCAATCCAGGCTGGGGAGAAAGGATCTGAAGGTCTGAATGTCTGTAAGACCATTCAGCAGTCCAGCCACATCTTAGTGTTACCATGTCTGCACTGTGTTGCCACATGTCCAATTTAAAGACCAGTACTTGTCCTTGATTATTTTTCTAGGCATGCTGAAGACAATGGGAGTAATTGAAAGTTATTTGCACTGGTTTAATTAATTATCGATTTTCATTATATCCAATAGTATGATTTCTACTCAGAAAAGTAAACAAAACCAGCACTCATGTTTCCCACCTCCTAATGACCGGCTTTAGTATCTGTTAGTTATAAAAGATGTTTATTTTACCTGCCAAACTCACAGATTCAGCCTGGGATCAAAAAGTAATTTGAGTTTTCCTTCGCATAAGTCATGATTAATAAATGTCCTGCAGGTTCATCTATGCCCCACCAGCATCTGTGTATCCCTATTTTCTTTGATGGTTTTGGCACAGGGATAATCAACAGGAACTCAACCAACAATTCTGTTAATGATTCAAAAGGCAAATATATCAGCTCACTGGGTCTCATATGTATTGTCTGTAGGACTATCAGGTGCAAAATGTGATAAAACTATTTTTGTAACAGATAGAGCTTTAGTACATTCAGGAAACAGAAGTGCTAAGTAGAAAAATGCTATTTATATACTCAGGTTGCTTTTCAAAGTACTTTCAAAGTATCTTGATTCTATCTACATTCTACCTGCTCTAAAAAGAAAAAGAAGTCTGTTCTCTTCATGTGCTATTAAGGCAGAACCTTCCTCATCTACATAGATCATTCCTTAAATAAAAACACATTTGTAAATCACTCATATCAAGAATGAAAAGTTTCTCTGTTGTACTATGTCAGCTATAGTGCAGAAACAAGAACAAAGGGAATGAACTTTGAAGACTATTTTCCTAAGCAATTCACATGTAAATGTTCCAATAAAAGTAAGGTCCCTTTTTAATAAACATTAATACAAAGGTGGTAGCTTGGATGACAGACTCTGGTTTGAAATTCTTACATATATTGTAGGAAGTCAAAGTTAAATTTTGCATACCTTTTCCCCCATAGATACACCTCCTGATGTAATGATCACATCAGCACGGCTGATACCCTCATTCAGTGCATTCAGTAAATCATCTGGGCTACAGGAAAGAACAGGCAAGCAGATTAGTGGCATGGAATTATTATGAGTTGTAATATAAGTCTGTGTGCACACATACAGATGCATATACACACGTGTTTTAAGAGAAATACAAGCTCTTTTCCTTCTTAAGATTCCACACTGTTCAATTCAAGTCAAGAACTGCAATCTCATTAAGTGAATGCCACTCTGTTTGGCACCTTTCTGTCTAAGAACAGAAACAAGAACAGTGGGATACTTTAGACTGGGACTGAAGAATGCTAATATACGTGTCTGAGTATGCAATTGGCACAGTAGGTGTAATACAAATTGTGATTTAGATGAACTGACAGGAATATATAAAGGCACCTGACACATGAAAATTACTGACCACCAAGCAGGCTGCAGTACTACCTGTCTAGTTTATTTGATATATGCAAAAATGGGGGCGAGGCTTCACTTCAAACTTTGATCAGTGAAGAGTGGGAGTAAATCCTTTGTTTCTCTTCTCTCTTAGAGGGCTCTACAGCAAAGCCACCTGTACATATCCACTTCAGCTTGCAAAAACACAAACCATCCTCTTAAAAGGTCTATTCACCTTCATGAGAAACAGTGTAATGGGAGCTATGATATTCTTCCATACAAGGAGTATAACTGTGAAGGATATTGGTGTCCTAATTCTTTTCTTTCTATTTGAGATCTAAACTGGAAACTTTGAAGTGAACATTAGATATTTAAGAGCAGTACTGATGCTAATACAGAGCTTCAAGGCACGCAGTGGAGAAACTCAGTAATACAACTCACACAGGTCCAAAGGAATCAAAACCAATTTCCAATATATTAATTTCATAATTTGCCTTTAACATTTGTGAACTAACCAGAAGCTGACCGTTTGCTATGGCTGGTTGTATGTATTGTTTCTTCAAAAGTGCGTTTTCACTTCCATGATCCTGAAAGCTTTTCATGGAAGGCTGTTCCTACTTAGAATGCCATTGAAAGAGTGGGCAATAATGCTAGTGACTGTATGATGACCTGGAATGCAGCACCTCAGGTAAATACCACACCAAAACTATAAAATGCCATTGTGGGTGGTGAATGCAGGCTGAAAATGGCATGAGGGATATCCTTCAGGAGCTTTAGCTGTATTTCATCTGAAGGTAGAACTACAGCAGTAATTTTGGAGTTTGAGTTGAAAACACAAAAGTTAGGAATATTATGAAAGTTCTAGTTGACCTTTCAGAGACTAGCAGAAACTGTGTGTTTCCAAATGTCTCATAAAGAAAAAAATCTTTCCTCTGAGCATCCTTTCTTTGCTAATGGTTCAGTGCAATATAAGCAGCAGTTAGCATGATGTGGTGCTGTGTGCACTACAATTTATGTGACACAAGAATGACTGCACTCCCTCACTGAGTAAATAGCTCAGTGCATGCAACCTTGCACATGCTTCATCTCACCAGAGAGCCCTCCGGTGTCCTCTACCCTGGTTATGCCTTACAGGCAGAAAGACTCGAGACTCTTTCTCCACAATGTCCAGTGAAACACCATGTTCTTTGGCATCACAGTGTAGTCATCCTGCACAACTTTATTACCTGTGTTGGGTTACACCCCTCTCTAGGGTCACATTGCTTTGTAAGAGGTAGTCAACAGGATAACAGCAGAAAGAAGGGCAGATTGCAATCAATAAGACAGAATTATACACTACCCCCTTTTTAAAGGAAATAGTGGCTGCAGGATTGTGCCATGCCATCATGACTATTGTTCAGGGTACTGGGTATCTTGGATACTCTTAATGACCTATAAAGAATGCCTAAACTGTTTTCTTTGGGACAAAATAAATGGGCTCAAGCAAAATAATCTCCTTTGTTCTTTAGGAAACGGAGACATTTTATCAGCTGCCCCATCTGAAATCTTAGGATCATTTTCTCCAAAACCCAGCACAAGTCTTCACTAGTCATCGAAGGAAAGTAGAAAGAAGCAAGTCTGCTGCTGGCTACTTCTTCAAAACCAATTGTCTCGTATTGATTGTCTAAGTAGTATCTGCATGTAATAAGATACTGTTTAAGATTATTATAGAGTTTGTAATAGGAAAAGTCTCTCAAGATCTAAGTATTCCTTAATCCTTGCCAATGAGGCTGCTTGGAATGCAGCAAGGAATAAATATTCATTACATAGGTCAATACTGGCATTCCTGAGGCTCAAACATATGCCACTAACATCAGCCTATGACTGCTCTCAGTACATTTTTCTCATTAGGTTGTGATGGAGCTGAGGACCTTATCTGGAGCTTGCTCCAGGCTGTTTCATTTTATCTTGTTTAATTATTTAAAAGTTATTCATAGGTAGCAAGACTACCTGTCTGGGGACATGCTAATTCTGGATAATGAAGCGGGCTTGCTTTAGCTGTGGTTTGAGAATAATGGAAGGAACAGTAAAAAGCAAACAAGTATATATTTAACTGTTGTTAAAGTTAAATAGAATGGAAGTGCAGCTACTTACATATGGAATATATATATGTGTGCTTGTATACATATTAAATCACTTAACAAAGGAAAAAATCAATAAACCCTCCCTTCCCCTCCAAATAAGCCTAAACTCAAACCAGGTGAGGACTCAATTCACATATTTCCTTATGAGAGCAGCATACCACTGGACTAGTTCATCATTCAGGTATTTGTATTTTGTCATGTAAAAAGCTGAATATTACTGGATTTGGTCCCTTTTTAGAATTTCCAGCAGAATGAACTGTATAATATAGGGTTTTTTTACCATTTAAAAATTATTTTCTTTACAATATGTATAGTGCAAGGCATTAAAAAATTCTACCACTAAAACTTATCCAGCCAATAGCACTGCATGTCATCTTTAACACAGTTACAAAATGAGTTTAATTCTTCCTAAAGGATAGATGTGATAGAAATTTTGTTGCAATAAACTGAAATATTATGTTGGTTTTGGTTTTTATTCTGAAAAAAATGAGACCAAGTTCCCTCCCTTGCTATTGCAGAAAATGTATCTTTTTGACATTTTTGGCAGACTTCTTTGTGTCACAGGTCTGCCTAACTTTATGTTGTACTTAATGTTGGTAGTTCCATGACTCTGCAATTAGCACCAAACACTCCTTAGAGGAGTCACCTGTTGCAATATTCAATCAACACTCTAGTGAACATCTCCCTTGTCTTTAGTGAATTTAATGCAGAGAGTTACTACTCAAATTGCATATTAACACTGAGTTGATATAATCAGATAACAAGATACTACTTCTTGTTTCATTTGTTGTGTAACAGTGAGCAGTTGCTCCTTTAGAATGAAAAAGGAAATAAAAGGAAAGGGAATAAATAATGAAAATTATTAAATTCTGAAGGAATAGACAAGATAACTCTGGCATCTGAGCATAGCATGACAGGATTGTTTTAAAAGGCAGGTCACAAACCGCCATGAAGCTAAGAAATAACACTCACTGTCTGAGCAGGTACAAATCAGAAGCTATATTCTGAAGCAGGGCAGGATACCAGATTAGCTAGATTAATGGTCTAATTTACTACAATAAATACTTTAAAATATCTTATCAAAGTGCTATTCTTGGATTTTTTTTCTTCATGGACAGAATTGTAACAGGTGCTCAAATATAATGGGGAATATCTTAATCAATGTAAAGTAGATTTTGATGGAAAGTCTCATTTCCCGATGGCAAAATTACTCTGTTTCATTTGGTGATTTTCAAAGTTAGAGTGACATTGTGCACAAAAATGGGAGTGTGCTTTTCTAATATGCTGCAACTTTTTAAAAAATTTGTACTCAGATATGTTTCAGATGACATCCGATTATCTTTTGTTAATACCTTGAAGAGAATTTGTTATTTAAGGACTGCATAGTTTATGAAACTATTCATATACATAAATAAGGAACAAATCCAAACCTTCTTTCAACACCTGGAGCAGGTTGTCTCTGCACAAGCATGATGTGTATTGTACATACATTTTTGAAGCTGCATAGTGATTGCATAAATAGTGCATACATTTTTAAGTATATCTTTATATTCTCTGCTAATTTTGTCAGTCTGGTAAACAGAGTATCTACTCCACTATCTCAGTGTCCTGACCCTTCTTGTTCAGTTTTATGGAACATAATGGGCAGTACAATTTGGAAATTAGTTGGAGGATAACTGTTGTATAATGGCAGCAGCAAGCATCCAGTAAGAAGATGTGTGACATTGCAGCTGACACCTGCTTTCGTTGATTTGAAGAGAGGACCTGCAGGAACACCTTCTGGATTCATGAAAAATTCTGGTTATCAAAGTTAGTTTGTGGAAAACTTATTAAACACTTGAGCTGTCAAGTGAGCTGTCTTTGAACTGAAAAGATATACAAGAAAGCTTAAGAGCTTGATCAAGAAAATGATGCAAGCCTCATTAAAATAGACATCAGGCATGTAAATATTCTCTTTTTCACTCTCAAAAGAAATAGCTACATGATAGTCAAGACCAAAGAATTCTCTGTGTTTTAAGTGCCAGTTTGAAGTACCCTAAATTACAGTGTAATTTTCTCTTTCACATAGAAATCAACACATGTTAATTCACTTTTGTTGATCCTATTGTTGTGCTTCACTGTCATTAATTATCAATCTTTCAGCCTTTTCTTAGCAGCAGCAGTTTTATACATGCAATTAAACTGCTCAGTTTTATAATTTAATATAGAAAACAAATAACAGCAAATGTTCAAAAAATCACTTCCACTCTGCAGTAAAATGGGTGATCCCAGTTTAAATTGAACTGGAACCTTTAGTTAGGACCGACTCATCAAAGCCATTGTCACAGTACAGAATCCGTAGTTCATTACTGATTCCCAGGACCATTTCCACCACATTCTTTGCCACAGGAGTCTCGTTCATTCAATGTGACCTCATTACCTGACAGTCACTTCCAGTCCTTGCTGTTCATTGCCATATACAGCTGTTACCATTGGGTGACAACAGAAACACTTGTGGTTGTATTTCCCTGTGCAGCAGCCTGGGCTTTTATAAACC